CCGATGAGGGACAATCCCGGGGCAGCCCTGCTGTAGGCAGGGGCTGAGGAACTGGGATGAACAGGGCTAGGAACGGCAAAGTGCAGTGGTGGGGGATGCCCGTGCCCCCGTGCTTTTCCACCCCTCATGCAGCCAGCCAGCAAACGCTTTTGGAAAGCATTACTTCAGGAAGAAAAATGTTCAGTGGCTGATGTGCCCTCCGGGAGAGTGCTGCTCTAGCAGCAGTTTAGGCTGAGAGATTAACTCCTTCCCCTGCATGCCTGGGCCTGGGTGGCTTTCTGGTCCACCCCATGAGGTGTCCTTGGGGTCAGCACTGCTGGGGTGACATCCTGTCCCTTACCCAGGCCCTGGGTGATGGGGACGGTCCTCTGCACTTAGGCTAGCCTTATGCTATGGAGGTGTGGTTTTGTTCAGAAGGGGACCCTGAGCTCTATCACCAGGTGTTGGGCTGTTCACCCACTGGAGCCTCTTGCAGCATCAGGTGGGAGGGGGGAGTATCAGTGTCACCCTGAGTCTTGGTTTTCCAGATGTGTCTGTCCCTGCGCCCAGCCATGGTTTGGCTCAGGCACTCAGCTCCAACATGTGCCAAGAGGATTGATGTCTGTGCTCCTGTGGCAGCAGCTGCCGGGACATGTTTATCCTTGCTGGAGATTGATATTTTTTTCTCTGGACACATGGAGTGACTGATGATGAGCAGGAAGATGAAGTGTTTCTCTCTGTAGCAGGGAGGGGAGATGTGTGCTGAGAGAGGGAGTGGATTCTCTGTGAGTTGGCAAAGGCAGCCAGGTGTGGGAGAGCAGCATGGGTGTTGCAGGGTGCCCCCACTCCAGGGCTCTCAAGCTGGGTCACCAACATGCCCCTTGGTGCATGATCTCCTCTCCCCAGACACCTCCACCTGAGCTGCATGGAGGGTTGGGGAGTGTCTTGATGATTTTTATTCCAAGAGCCTGTAGGCGAGTGCAAAATAACCACCGTCCCCACTCCGCCTGTGCATGAATGCTGAACCCCGTGGGGAAGGGAGGCCAGGCATCCCACCACCCCACCCTCCTCCCCAGTCCCACACCGAGCAACAGAGGCTCTTCCAGCAAAGGAGGAGATCAGAAATCCAGGCAGCGCCATTAGAATTATAATAATAGTAATTAATGTCTTGCCTCTCTCCAAGGATTTTCTAGTGAGGCTCGCCAGGTGCTGGCTGGGCATTAACTAATTAAAGCAATAGCACTCTGTGAAGGGGATGGGTGCCAGCTGGGTCATAGCACTGCAGCAGCTCAGCTGGAGGCTCGCTCCCTCTGCTCTCACCTTTCTCCACAGTATCCACAAAGATTAAGAGGGAGGAGGTGGTTTAGGAGGGACGGCCCTGAACCAGCCTCTTCCCCCAGGGGTGGCCAGGAGCTTCTATGTGCTACCCAAGGACGCTTTTCTGGTCTCTAGTGATGTGAGCTAAAGGGCTTGTGTGTGCATTTGGGGATAAATACACTCTAATGTATCAATTCTTGTATGCACACGTGTCTGTACATGGGAGACTGCTCCTGCACACAGATTTCCATCAACACACAAATGCCAGTACGTGGGCTTGCATAGACACAAGCCAGCACAATAACACGAAGGCTGGAGAAAACGCTTTGCAGGGAGAGACTTGAAGAGCTCAAATTGCTCAGTTTATCAAGGAAATTGAGAGGTGTCTTGATTTTGGTGTGTAAGTACCATCACCAGGAGAAATTACTTGACACTAAAGAATTCTTTAATGTCAGAGGAAGACAGAACAAGAACTGCCAAAGTCAGACTAAAAAGCAGGCGTGCATGTTAGCAGCAAAAGGGATGAGCAGCAGAAGCAAACTGCCAAGGGACATGGCAGGGGTTTTTTGTCCCTTGAAGGGTAGTCTGGTCCCTCTGGTAGAGACGCCTCAGCCAGTATATTCTTTAATCAGGCACACAGTATGAGGGTAAGCAGATGATATTTATTATGTTATTACAGCTCCTTAGATATATTTTTTTTCCTCACTCCCTGAATGTGGCCTGGTACACTATGGGATGGAGCCCAAAGGTGCCACCTGGCCCCTTTGCAGAGCCCCTTGATCTCTTACTACTCTCTTCTCACTGACCCCAGCGGTGGGGTTGGGGGGGGGCTGGTGGCCCTCCAGTCTGGAAGGCTTGGTGTAACCATGGGGTGTCTCAGGGAGATGCAGTTCCAGGAGTGGCTGGGAACTGCTGCAGAACCGCAGGGCATCGAGAGCCTGGAGTTTCATGCACCATGGGTGGGACGCTCAGCTCCAGTGCCACCATATGCCCTTGGGAGAAGCTGCCTGGGAGCTGCCTGGTGGCCCTCAGCCGAGCCTGTGAGCTCACGGAAAGGAGACGGGGCACCTGGGCTGTGGCCTCCTGCCAAGGAGAGGGCAGCGGTGCGGGAAGTTGGGGCTGAAAAATACTGTGTACAACTGGAGAAAGGTGTCAGTCCCAAACAAATGAGTAATTGTTGCTGTTAGTATCAGATGACGTGGTTGACTGATCAGCTGAGAAGCAGTGAGGTACTGAGCGCAGAAGGGATGTGATTTAGAAAGGTAATAAACTTAAGTGTAATATAGATCAATATTATGGATTTTATATACAGGCATAGTTAAATAAAGCAGTTATCAGTGGTACATATAGTATAACGGCACTGGGACCCCATGGGTGCGCTGTTCACATGTGTGTGCTTTAGTCAGAGGGAAGCTTAAGAAACCTAATGCCCAACTTCCTTGGCTGTGCTGCTCTGCTGTGTTCCCTCCATCCCAGCCGTGCCAGTGCCTGACCTTTGGGCAGTAGTGGGTTGAGCTGGCCAGCACTGAAGCCCCCACCCCTGTCAGTCACTTGCTCCCCCCAGCAGGATGGGGGAGAGATTGGAAGAGCAAAAGTGAGAAGACTCCTCGGTTGAGTGAAGACTCCTCATCTTGTAACAGAGGGGGTGGAGAGCAAAGAGGCTAGGAGTGTCCCCAGGCTGCGGGGCAGCACCCTGCGAGGCTGGTCTGTCTCCCCAGCAGCCACGTATCCCGAAGCGACAGAGTGGAAATGACCTCGAAGGCTACAAATTGCCCCAGGGACACTGTGCTGCTGCCTCACCCAGAAGTGTTCACATCATTAAACCCTGTATCACTCACGGCTCAGGTATTCTTGGGCATTTCCGTGGTGCCTCTCCCTGAGGACTCCCTGGTCCCTTGCTCAGCTCAGCCCCACCGGGTGAGATGATTTGTCCAGCACGGGGGAAACTGAGGCACGGTCAGGTGGGGCTGTGCCTCGTTCGTGTCACTGGGCACAGCTACAGGACAACATCTGGAAGGGCAAGAGAGGAACAGGTCTGAGTCACAAGACAATGCCTATGACTTAATCGTGAAGCCTTTTGCATATATAAACCAATAAACATACAGGTAGGACAGGGCCTGCAGCTCCGGCTGATCCCTCTGCGGGCATATTTGCACTCACAGCTGCTCTCCCAGGGCCCGTGGTCGAAGCTCATCTGTGCTGTGGGCAGAGCACGGTTCAGGTGCCAGTGGGGGTGTTTTATTGATAAATGGGGTTTTTTAATAACTTTGTCAAGAAATTTCATGTTCCTTGATGTTAGGGGAATGTGATGACATGTGAAAGGAAAACTTTATCCTAAAAATGGGCTTGACATTTGTTTTTCTTTTCTCTCTTTGTAAATTCTCCTTTTAATAAGGGAAAATGAGGAAGGGAGAGCAAACAGAACCCAGAGGAAGTGAGATCTCCCACCACTGCAATGAACTCTTCAAAACAATTTTTTTAAAACAAAACAATAGTTCAAAAGTGAATGATTTGCAGTTTACCAAATACCCTTAGCTTTATTTTACCTGCTCTGAATTTCAGCACTGGTGAATTGGCACACAATTAGATAACAGGGGTGACTCTGGGGCACATGCAGATGAGCAGGGAGGCAGGAATGCAAACACATTTGACTCCAGTGAGTAAAACCCTCCTGAACCCTGTACTGCCGGGTCTGTACAGGGAACACCAGGTGCCCTGGTACCACAGGCATCAAATATACTGAATTATACCCATCTAGTTACGTCTTACACACTGCTATGCACAGTGTAGCCGTGGTCTGGTGATGGATTAATGCTGTGGCACCGCTGCCGGCCATGTCACGAGAAGGGCTCCCGTGTTTGTGTTGAAGAACACGGCGCCTGTCTTGCAGTACTGTAGCTGTGCCACAGCGTGCACAGCCACGGCCGGAGCCTGGGCGCCTTTGTTCTGCTCCTGGCGCAGGAATCCTTTCTATTCACGTTGTGACCTTGGGCGTGCAACTTTGCCATGCTTAAAATTAACTTTTCTGCAAACAAAGCACATAAATCTCCTTGTGGCGGGAGAGCTGTGGTGCAGCATGAGGGGCTTGGTTTTGGCGAAAGGTTTTTTATCCCCCTGAGTTGCCACGTGTGCGGTGTCCCTCTGGGATGAGGGTGCTGGTGGGTTTTGGTGAAGGTTTTTTTTTTCACTCTGAGTTACCACACATGCAGTGTCTCTTTGGGGTGAGGGTGCTGGTGCTGCCCCAGATGGGGTGGTCCCAACAGTGCCCAAAGCCCTGAGTCGTCAGCCACTTTCCACAGGAGAAAGGGATTCAGTAAAATCTGCTGTAGCACAGGGTGCTTCCCCCCGCATCGCCCCCAGGTTGTTTGGTTTTGCTGGCAGAGCTAAACAGGGGCTGCAGAGACTGATGAAACAGGCTGCAGGCTCTTCTTCTTAAAAAAAAAAAAAAAAAAAAAAAAAAAAAAAAAAAAAACC